AGCCTCTTAAAGGTACCAAGCAAACCAGAGAAATTATGTATATGTGTATCCAACTTCTTCATCAGTATGGCTTGTGATCAAAAACCCGTATTTTATGATCAGATGTACCTGAATTTGATCCCAGTTCTGTCACTTATTAGCTGAGAAAACTTGATCAGATTAATTCTGTCTTCATTTTTTCGTATGTAAAAAGGGGTTGAAAATAGTACTTACAACTCATATGGCTGTCGTATGTGCATGTTTTATATATACCATTTCACGTACAATACCTGGAATATGCTAACAGCTCAATAAATGTTAGTTAACTGTTATCAGTAGCATTACCACCTTCCTAGTCATCCAGGTTCCAATAGCTCAGTCATCTTTGATATATTCTTTTCAAAAAATAATATATTCAATCAGCATTTGTATATTTTATTTTCTAGCACAATGTTTTTCATTCCCTGATAGTTTAGGGCTATTATCATAGCCACGTAACCAGATTACTAGATTTTATGTTTAAAGGGTAGAAACCTCTTACTTTTGTTTCCCCTATATTACCTAGCATAATGCCTAACATAAATTTTGCTATTAGATAACTAATCTTTACATCTATTTATTCCTCCATTGATCCCTTAAGTTCTTTCTTTTTTATTAAGAGTTCCTGACTCAAATCAGCTAAACTCTTATGGTTTTTTTACCTTTAGATTTTATTTATTTATTTTTAGACAGGGGGGAAGGGAGAAACAGAGGGAGAGAAACATCAGTGTGTGGTTGCCTCTCATGCCTACCCTGGCTCTGGGGAACCTGGCCTACAATCCAGGCATGTGCCCTGGGTGAGAATCAAACCAGCGACCCTTTGTTTCTCAGGCTGGCACTCAACCCACTGAACTACACCAGCCAGGGCCCCTTTAGTTCTTTGAAAGCAGGGAGTGTCTTGGTTCTCTGTATATATTTACACCTGCCCAAATCCCTTAGTAAATAAATTTTTGTTGAATGAATCAATTTGAGTAGCCTTACAGTCTCCAAACCTATCATCAATCTAGCTATCTCATAAGCAAATGGTACGTCTTATATTCCCTAATACATTTATTCTGACCAAATTGGCCTCACTACAACATTATCAAGAGTAGTCTTACTATATTAGTCGGGACTCCTATTCTGTACCCAAAAATGCTACTCAAATTAAGCAGAAAAGGAAATTTATTAGTCTGCATAATTTGAAAGTCCAAGGTTAGCATCAACTGGCTACTGATTCAAAGGTATATACAGATCCAAAGGCTCAAACGCTATCATTAGAACTTGGCTTCATTCTTTCTTTTGGCTCTGTTTTTCATTTACTGGCAAGCTCCAGGATTTCATTCTATGCTCTCAGCAACCCCAGGGTTCAAAGTATGCCTTTTTCTCAACAGTTTGAACAAAAAATTCAGAATTAACACTCATGTGGGCCGATTGGAAAATACACCCTTCTCTGAACAATCACTGTGGCCAGCGGGATGGACAACATTGATCGGCTAGGCCTGAACTACATGCACACCCTTGTGTCAGAGTGGGATCCATATTAGTGAGAGGGGTGGTTCCCTAGGAAAACTGGAGTACAGTATTGTTATCAGATGAAAGGGGTATGCATGGGGTGGATTAGCAAAATTATCTGTTGTGCCCTATACTCTAAGACAGTATGCATGCAAGTCCATCAGTGCCTGGAATGGCTTTCCTTCTCATTTCTGCCAACCCAAAACAAAGCTACATCCTTTCTGACTCCAAAAGTCTTCTGTGATTTCTCCTAAGATTTTCCTTGTCCACTGAATCAAGTTACTCATGCCCAAATAAGTTATTTCCCTTTTTGTTTTCCCTAAAGCTCTACCTTCTAAAACTAACAGGAAAGGAAAACCACCAGAAAATGTTCCATGATGAATTCTAACCATGTCAAATTATAAACAGTATGGGTAATATGGACTGTTTCTTTTTTTTTTAAGAGAGAGAGAGGAAGAGAGAGATACACACATCAATTTACTGTTCCACTCATTTGTTTGGTTACGTCTTATATGTGCCCAGACTAGGAATCAAACCTGCAAACTTGATATATTGGGATGAAGCTCTAACCAATTGAGCTGCCAGGCCAGGGCTGTGCTGTTTGTTATGTCAACTCTTGAAGGATACTAGCTCTACCAGATACATCCTATACATTAGGAAAGAATAAAATGTGTGGCAAATTTGATATATGCACCATCAAATAATTTTTTTGTCTTTAAATTTCCTGTAGAGTCTAACCAAAACATTTTAACATAAATTGGGTCTGACTTCACCAACATGACAGGGGAACTCAAGAGTTACAGACTTTAGCTTTAGTCATACTTGATAGGCTTAAGTGACTAATGCATGTGGAAAGCTATTCCAGGAACTGGAATATATGACCACATGACTCCAAAGAGGTAGACAAGCAATTCAACCTTGGTGCCCCAGGGAGTCTGCAGGTAATGGAGATGGTATCTGAGCCACTGTGTTCCAAAAAAGGAAGTCCATGACACAGATAAGGCTGATGAACAGATAAAGATGTACTAAGAAAATCACCAATGGACTGCAACTCTGATCCAATCAAGCTTTTTTCCAAATCCCTTACCTACCCTTTCTTCTCCTTATGAAAGGTCAGCTTGAGAGGACATACTAAGACTGTTTTTGAGGGTACATAACCCACTGTCTTCTCAGATTGCTGGCATCTTGAATAAAGTGCCCATCAAGATTCAATCTTTGTCTCTGTTTATTGGTTCTGGTAGTGACAGGCAGCACAACTGCCAACTTTTCCAGTTTCAAAAGTTCCTAGTATAACAGATAGACTATGGTTTTAGAAGACTATGGTTTTGGAACTACCTCCAATTAGGCTCAAGAACTAGCTAAAACCACCTTCCCTGGCATTTAGCTACAGGTCCTTGACCAAATTATCTTCTCTCTCCAAGCCTTAGTTTCACTATCTTTAAAAATAGAATGGCAATAACTCTCTGTACATAAGAAACTAGGCTATGAGATATAGTGGAGAGAAAAGAATTAGATGGACCTTGGCTGAAATTCTACCACTACGAGTTAATAGGACTTTCTCTGAGTGATTCCTCACTGTAAATTCTAAGTAATTTCTCCTACGTAAAGTGGGGATCATAATATTTAATCCACTGGTTGTTATACATTTAACATGACAATGTATTTAAAAACATCTAACACACTGAATAGCAGTCAGTTAAAACTCAATAAATGATGTTATCCACATCAAATTATCTGTTTAAAATGATTCAGAGAATAACTCAGTGTTTTTGTACTTACCAAGGTCCGCCAAAGACTTCTTATACTTAGTAAGTGACATTTCTAACACATTAAAATGAATTTAGTATAATAGGTCATAAAATACTTTGTAGTCTTTTTTTCCATTTACACCTTTTGACTAGATAAAATATCAACCATCCAAAAATATAGTTTATATATAAACTATTAAAATAATAAAATAAACATGGATAACAAATTCAAAATTCAGATCACAAGAAAAAGTTCATAAATGCCCGTGGATTTTCTTTGTCAGTTAATATTTCTTAATGACAAAACACTTTGGTCTTACAACTATTTAAACGCTGGTAAGATAATGAACTAGATAAACTACTGTAATCAACTTGTTGTTTAGCTTCAGGCTTAATGTAGTAATATGAAATGATTCATACCAATATGATATGGCTATGCTATCCCCTGAATATATAGCTATTTCCCGAAGAGAATAAAAAAAATGGAGTATTAATGACAATTTTAGATGTAATCTATCAGAACACATGAAAAGGTAAGTGGTTGTTCATATTCACCTTAGCAATAAAGTTTAATTTTAATGTCATTCACTCAAAAATACAAACTATATTCAGTACAACAGTTTCCAAAAAGTGATTAGATTTAATAAGCAGGCATTTAATTTCTTCCATTTTACACTAGAGCAAAAGTTTCTTTGGAAAGAAGATTCCTGAAGTAACACTGTGTTTTTCTAACAAGACTGAATCTTATGTACTACTTATCAATCCTTAATGAGTGCACAAACATAGGATGGTGTTAAAGATTTTAAAATAAGAAATGGAATAATTAGACACAAAACACTATACATTCTTTGGTTGCAAAAACACTGTAAGAAAATAAAATATTTAATTATACTACTCAAACTTGTTTAAGGGATTTATTTCTTTTATTTACGCAGAACATGAATAGACTCGGTTTTTAATCTACACCGAGGAGCTGTATTTTAAACACAAGAGAAACATTATGGTGAACACCTCATTTAACAGGCACTGCTCTCTACAACAGCTCTATACGACGAAGAAAACCTAATTCCTTATTACCTTTCCTGGGTTCAAAAGTATGTATAAAACAAAATGTTTGTTTTTCAAAAGCATGAAATACTGATATGGTAGGCAACCTTTATCTTTTCGAAGTAGTTTTCTACTTTTGCGGGGGTCATGAGAAGAGAGGGGCACGAGTAACTGGAAGTCAGAGGGTGGGCTCTAGTTATATTAACAAGATCATTTGGTAAGTCAACTAGATAAAACAGTTACAGCGTTTGGGTTCATGTTAAGATCAACTCTAGAAAAGATGCCAGGGCTGAGATCGACACATTCCTGATCACACAGTGACCAATGCTACTCGGATCTAATTAAGAGCGCACTACATTCCCCGATCTTAGCAGAAACCGGGGTGGGGCACGGGTCTATCTCAGCAGGGACTGAAGTTAATTTTCTAGGAGGGTAAATCACCACCCATCAATCCCCTACAGTCTTCCCTTAAAGATGCTGCTGTCTGCCCCTCCCAGGGCTCAGGATCTGGCCCGCAGGCCCAGGAGCGGAGGTGGGGAGTGGTTGGGGCAGTCGCCTTCTCCCGTTACCCGGGTCCTGATCGGGAACTATGGGAACGGTACAGTAACTACCCGAGAGGTCCCCACCAGCTTGGGCGGCCTCCTGCCGCACCCAGAGCCTCCCGTCAGATGGGATGTTCCCAGTCCCGCTCACCCGCCCGGGTGGTGTCCGTCAGGTCGTGGTTGGCCGCTCCGCGGGGAAACTCCCTCAGTTTCCGGCCGCTCAGGCTCAGCACCCCGGTCACCGCCGCCTCCTCCAGCGCCCGATCAAGGGAGCGGCTCCACGAGCCTGGGCCAGGACCGGGTCCTGCCCCAGAGCTTGGGCCGCAGTTAACACCGGAAAGGCTACCTCCCGACGCTACCGGGCCAGAATATTCTGCAGCTGTAGCCACAGCTACCAAGCCCGCTGCCGCCATTTCCCAGACGACAACTAACAGACCCAGCGGTTCCACGCATGCGCGGCTAGACCTGATGGTTGGGCGGGGAAAGAAATTTATAGACCCCAGACAGTTCCCTTGATGGACAAGGCTGCAGTGCTCCTCCGTGCTTCTAGGCGCTTGCCTCCGCCCACTGGGTTTTCAAAGGAAAATAAAAAATCTGGAGCAGCCACTGCTCCTTTAGGCTCCAGGTACATTTTAAAGATGTCCCAGCAAAAATATCTTTCAGACAGCACTCCTCACCAGCTTTCTTCCCTCAGTACTGGAGGATTAGGGTGAGCATTAAGCTAAGGTTTTTTAACATTTGCTACCAGAAACTTTGGCTGGGATGCGACACAAAATATTTCCCAACTTCTGTTATTCTGTAAACCAAATGATCCAAATGGAGACTTGTGCATGTATTCAGTACTATTGCCTGAAAGAAAAATAAAAAGTAGACTGGCTCCCAAACTCCACAGGTCTCATCTAAAGGATTATACACATATATTGTAAGCCCTCCTTTACTTTTATTAAATAGTTCTTAACAAAACTAAAATGAATATCTTAAATAGTACTTGTGCCTTTAGGCAAACTTTTAGGCAGCATAAACAGCATTAAGGTCTAAAATTTTGGTTTGCAACCAAAATTGAGCAAATGATCTGACCATAATTTAAATGTGAGAATTAAAGGTAGAACTGAAGAAAATGATTTAAAAAAAAGAAACAATGTAGTTTCAAAAAAGTGGAAAATACCACATTTTAAACCAATTAGACTTTACTTAAATTGCAGTCTAGCATATTCCTTGTGTGTTTTTTTTCAGAGGGGGATGCCTTTCAGCCATTACTGCTATATCATGTAAATTTCCCCAATATTCAACCAATCATCAAATATTTACTGTGGGAAATAGAAGAGGCTGTCAGATACAACACTTTCCCTAGGAGATTATAATGTATTTGTAGAATCCAGACAGAACAATGAGAAAACAAGACACAAAAAAAGGCCTGAGTGTGAGGTGTGATTATTAATCAGAATTCAGAGGAAAGGAATCTGTATCATGGATGGCTGAGGTTTTGAATCAAATCTGGATTAAATGAGGTAGGCTGGAAGGTGGAGTAATGTTAGATTGTGAGGAAAATCAGCATGACCAAAACCAGGTAAGATTTATAATGGTGCATGTGGAGAACATCAGGGCCATAGGCCAAAGATCATGTCAGACAACTTATGAAAGTAATGTTGGGGAGATCCTACTAGTTATTCAAGGCCTCAATCTTCATGAAACCTTGATTAGCATTTCCCCAACTCCTAATTGGAAGAGATTGTCAAAATGTTTAATCTCGGTGCCAAAGACAGTAAGGACTACTCTGAGTTCTATGAACTCAAGACTACACATTAGGTTCTTCAGCAACAAGTTTCATGTTCAATTATCAGTGTTGTTTATGAACATGAGTCACTGCAATGTAAGTAATATATGATATTTGTTATTCCTGGCAAATAACATTTATCCAATGCATGAATTGGTTTTCATTCTGGTATTACTAAAGTTTTGTTACTCTTGGAAAGATTTTAAACTATTTAAGAGTAGGTTCTCATTTTATATTTAGAGAGGCAGTATTTCAACCACAATGACTGAAAGCATAATCATATATTCCACACTAATGCTACAATGCTATAGAAATAGTTGCCAGATCTTTCTCAAATGGACTACATATCATCTATTTGATTACCTATTACTTTCCACATTTACACTAAACTCTTCTGACAAGTCCTCTGTAATGACTTCCTTCCTTTCTACCAGTACATCTCATTATAACAACATTCCATACAAATTGTGGTCTCTGCATTTCTGGCCAACTTTATAGACTGATTTGGGGGGGGGCATTCAACTAGATTTTAAGGTCCTTAGTACATTAAACTCCATCTTCCATAACTCAGGGCCGAGCATACTTTTTTAAAGAGGGCAAACCTTTTTTTAAGAGTTTATTTGTAGAGAGGGGGAAGGGAAGGAGAGGGAGAGAAACATCAATGTGTGGTTGCCTCTTGCTCATCCTCCCTCCCTGAGCTGGGGACATGGCCTGCAATCCAGGCATGTCCCCTGACTAGGCATCGAACTGCTACCCCTTGGTTCACAGGCCCATGCTCAATCCACTGAGCTACACCAGCCAGGACAGGACTGAGTATATTTATAGGAGTTAGAAAATAGTAGAAAAAAGCAGAGACAGAAGGTGGGTTATGTACTAACAAACTAGAGGTTATGTACAAATACAGAAAAGAATATTGGGAGGAAAGAAAAAAGAATTACAGCCCTGAGCAGCATGGCTCAGTTGCTTAGGCAGCATTCTGCAAAGCAAAAGGTCACAGGTTCACTTCCGGGTTAGGGTACATTCCTGGGTTGCAGATTTGATCCTGTCCCAACTAATTGATGTTTCTCTCCGGGTCTTTCTTCTGCCCTTCCTCTCTCTACAAATACATAAGTAAAATCTTTTTAAATTTTTACAACTTCTGAGAAAATAAGTTGTACATATTCGAAGGCCAAAAGAAAGGCTTGTGATGAGCAAAATGAAGGTGCTATACATACACCATTATACTAGAGTAAGTCCTGGGTAAAGAAAGCTGGAAGATAGATCAAGGACTTATTTTTGAGACTTTGAAGGACTTAAGGTTTCATTTATAAAGGAAAGGTAGAATATGAAGAAATTCTCATTCTACTCCTTCAGTATTCTTCATAAAGCAAATGACAAGACCTTGCAAGAACAAGATATAAGAAATGGAGTCGTGGGAAGTCACCAGTCTAGTGATGAATAAAAGTGATGAGAAACAGCTGCAAAAAAGCTGTGAACAAAAGGACTACAGGGATCTATAATTTATTCCACTATTGCTCTGTAATCTGGAAGCAGTTGAAAAATAGGCAGTGGGAGTTATTTAATGTTAGAAAGATACAGAGAATGCCTCTGCTTCTTCTTGTTTTATAGACTGACAGTGAGGAACAAAGGTTTTTACTCAAATCTCAATAGTTCTCTCCAGCTTTACATCACATAGAAATAAAGCCTTTCTCCCTCTCTACTCACTAAAAATGTATTAGTCATTCCTTTAAGGCTCTACTTTTATAAACTCAAAGCACTAGGGTTAAATCTCAGTCAATTCCAATCTCTTCAAATGTAAAGCACAGAAATTGGTTTGTTGAATATAGTCAATGTTTGGTCCTTCCCTTTCTGACTCCTTTAGTAAGCACTAATAATTGGCTTTTTAAAGCTTTATACAAGAAAATTTAGACAATGTGATTTTTCTACTCACTAGGGAAAAATGGATGTATAAATTCAACACATATATACTAAGAAAATAGTTTTCTATTCCTCTTTAAACATCTGTAAATACCCGAAGACATTAAGAACAATGAATTTCAATACCAGAATGGTATCACATTTCCATATTTTATCAAACTTTATGTTGAAAAGATTTCAGATAATAAACTGTAAAAGCAGGAAATAAAAAGAAACATTAGAAGTCAACAATTTATAAGCAAATCTCTAAATCCCTATTAATGGTCCACAATAGTCCAAAATTCTTATAAATGCCTGGGCTCATTAGTATCGTTTTTAAAAAGGGACAAATTCCAAATTGACCTACACAAAAAGAACTCTTTAAAGGAAAGCTTAAATCACGTTTCTTTTTCTACAGTGGCAAAAAACAATCATGTAATTCTGATGAAAGTTCAAAGGTATACTGATCAGAAATGAAGAAATCATTTTCTGCCTTAATACTGCCTGAATTCAGAATGTATGTTATCAATTCTCTTTAGTGCAAAGTCAGCCATTTTTCCCACTTTTCTCTCCTTATAGTAAATAAAAAATCTACCCCCCCAAAAAACAAATTGCCCTGACACTGCATATTTTGTGTGAGTTATAAAGCTATTGACAGCAAAATATGATATGCATGTCTATTCTAACAAAAAAATAACCATTGGGCAATGAAGCCTATTTTCTTCATACTCAGAAGTATTTTATGATTTGGTTATAATTAGAATTGTGATATTCTGTACCAATAAGTGATGCTATATTTGTTTGTGCCATTTTTAAGACTTTAACTTCTTAGGTTATTAATCAAAATTATTGTATGAGTTAGCCAGTAGAATCTTTAGGTTAAAACAACAGATGAGGCATTTTGGGAATATTTAATGTAATAGATATTTTTGGACATTTTCAGTAGTATAGGCCCTTTGCTCAGCATCTGGATGTTTCATATATTTTTATTTGTTAATATCTCCTCCCCAAGATTGTTATTCCGATCATTTGCCTGAATGACATTTTCTAGTACTTCGACATATTTTTTGAGGAATAGTTTGTGACTCCAATGCAGGTATCTTCATTACTGTTACCATTACATTGCAGAAAAAGCAAACCCCTTTGTTAGAACTACTGCACATTTGTGGGAAAAATACTTTATGAAGACTAGAATTATACAAGTGAGCAAAAACAAGTTGGTCAACTTGACTATGGAGTGGTGGCAATAATGTAAATCAGGGATGTTAAAACTCATTTTCTCTGGGAGGCCACACCAGCCTCGAGGTTGCCTTCAGAGGGCCAAAGGTAGTTTTAGGGCTGAATAAATGTAACTACTCCTTAACAGTTAAGCAAGAGCTTGGCACTGCCACCAGGTAGAAACAAGGTGCCTTGCTAGGCTGGATAAAACAAGGTGGAGGGCCAGATTGGGCCTTGTGTTTGCCACTTGTGATGTAAACTTTCCAGAAGACAATGAGCTGAACCTAAGCTCCCCTGGAATCTGAACAGACCGAGGAACATAGAATTGCCATTTGAAAACTGTGACGAGGTATAGTCTGGACCTCAGGGGCAGATCAGCCAGTAGCCTAAAGTCATTTCAAGTACAGAAACTATATTGGGATTGATATAAATATGAACATTGAGTGTAACAACTTTTTAAAAGAATATTTATAAACCTGAGGCTAAGCAGAATTGACTCTACTTCTTCCAGTGTGATACTGAGTTGACTATGTTTTTACCTTTACCACCTC